AGAAATATAGAACATTGTATCATTATTCTATAACAATTGTAACATTGTGTTTGTATTCATATTAATATTATTGTGTACTTTATATTCTTCCAACATTTTTGTTCCACGCCTATAAAGCCACATTGAATTGAATTGAACCACAGAGGGTTATATGGAAAGTCATGGTCGTAAAATTCTGAATTGTTTTCCGGGCTTGTCAGGCTATGTAATGGAAATTTCACCGGTTCCTGTTCTGCTTTCCTGATTTGATTGTTACAGTCTGTAAAGGAAAACACTTGGATGGAGAGACCTGGCTGCATCGAGATAAACGGAGAGAGAGAAAGAGAGAGAGAGAAGAGGAGGCGAGAGGGCAAGGAAAAAGGAAAGGGTGCTGTTTATATTAGCTGCTTGTTAACTTGACTGTGGACAGCCTGCGAACAGAACGCAGGGGAAAGAACAAGTTGTACTCTCTGTCTGCGTCTCTGGCTCCGGTTCAGTAAACGTCTCCCTCCTCTCCTCTCTTTCTCTCCATCCATCTCTCTTCTCTCTCTCTCTCTCTCTCTCTCCAGGCCAAAGCAGAGTGCAACGTTTTCTCCTCCTCACACGTACTTCCACAACACGTGCCTGTCATTATTTGTCCTTAAAGCCACAGACATCCTTTATTTTCTTCTTTGACATTTTCATTTGTTTTCTTCTTTTCAAGCTTCAAAAGCGATTAAAAAAAGAGCCAGGTGCCGGCCTGAGAGGCTGATCAGCGGACAGGAGAGGAGGAGTTGTGGGCAGTAGGGAACACGACAGGACGGGTGTGTTTTTTGTGTGTGTTTTTCTTTTGGGGGCGGGGGGTTGCTGGTGGTGGGGGGAGGAAAAGTGAGGAAGATGTTGGATGGCAGAGACAGAGTAAGGTGCACAGTTCATGCAGATTGGAGCTTTAGGTTTGGAGCCGCTCTGGAGGCAGATGTAACCTCACTGCTGGTGTTGAACCTTAGTGGGTGGAGCCAAAGACCGGTTGTGTCTAAGTGATGCTGGACTGAAGCTCACCAACAAAAATTGGTTTATTTCTTAACATGAAAATACACTTCGCTTTGATTTATCGGTTACGGTTGTCTACCCAAGCAACGATGGAGCATATACTATGCTCTGCTTTTCTGTGTTTTGTATTCCAAAGTGATCATCTTTAAGTTTTTGGACTGTTGGTTGGATAAAACACGGCATTTGAATATGTCTCCTTGGGCACCTAAAAAGCAATCTGGTTCGCCTTTGAATTGCCGTTAAATTGCTTGTTCTGTCCTAACAGCCACTCAAAAGATATTCACTGAAAAACTGGTTGCACAGTTACATTTGAGAAGCTAAAATCATAAAGTGTTTGCTACTGTTGCTTTAAAAAAAAAGAAAAAAAAAAGCCAAAGACTAATATTGGATCATCAAAAATAGTCAAAAATTAATTTTCTGTTGTTCGACTAATCAATGAATCGCTGCAGCTCTAAAAACGTCATCTGGTTTGTACGAGTGAGAAAAGATTCAAATCTCTGTGGTTCTTCGACTCCACCAATCTAGGCTCGACTTGACAATCGAGCTCGTTTCCGCCTCCGAGGCGGCTCAGTCTGTTCGACTAAACCTCCAACCTGTGCAGTGTGTCTGGGTTTTTAGGATGCTGAGACCTTGAAGCCGTAACTTTGCCGCAACGGAGAGGAGAGCAAAGCGCCAGTAAAAAAACAAAACAGAGTAAGCAGATAATGAGTCAGCTTTCTAAATTTGATAAAAGCCACGGCGGCCGGCTAAAGCGTCACAAAAGAGAAAGAGAGAGAGAGAGAGAGAAATAACAGCTTCCAAAGGCTTTTTCAAAACACGGAAAATGAACATGTGTCTAGTAGTAGCAGTTGAACAGTATTATACATTATTGTAAATGTGTATACACTCCAGTGGTAGGTTGGTGGGTGTGTTTGCATGGCTGGCGTAGGACAATAAAGACTAGATCAGAGAACAGGAAGCACTAAGCGCTCATTGGGTCAGTCTGCATTCACAAAAGGATTAAACAGTGACAGTCTCTTGTTCAGTAGAAAGACCAGAATGCTCACTTTGTGGAAAAAAACAAACAAACCCAATGTGCTGAGGCAGCAAATTAAATTCATCATCACTTAAGAAGTCTAAAGCATTTGCAAATCCTGGCTTTACTGACCTGAGGACAGCCTCAAACCACTTTCTTATTGGCTAAAGGAGCAACTTATGAAAAGCATTGTGGTGCCCTTCTGGTTCCACAAAACCACCTCAGAGCAACGATCACTTTTTGCCTTAAAATCCTGGAATTCATTTTCCCCCCATTCAGTAGATTTTTTTTCCCTTTTTGAATGGTTTCGTTGCATTAATCTGTTTGTACAACAGCATTTACAAGTGTTTTGTTGCCTCCCTACTACTAATATTAATCATTAAAAGAAAAGCTCTAAACATGATCTTTGCTCCGCTGAGGGAGTTCTGAGGAACCCAGCCCTGCTGGTGCAGTGATGTCTTTCCAAGGAGTTTTACAACAGTGTCGGTACAGTAAGACAGCAGCTCTGTGAATCACAGGCCAGCTTCCAATCGCCCGCAGCCATCGGCGTTGGCCTTTAACCAGCTTTTCAGCAGAAGTCTAGGTGGAGCGCGTCACCGTGCGTGGGTGTGTTTTCTGACCCGCCATTACGTGCACGAAGCCCACCGGCTCATTTCTGTGGTGCAAGCATTGATGCCAAACTCCTGGAGTTTTTTTGTTTTGCCCTCACGCATGCACCAGCTCACCATTTAGAAAACGGTATAGTTGTACATCTATCTGTGAATGGTGAGCTCCCACAGAAGAACATGACCTCTGCAGATCCTCAGCTGATGCCGACACTGACGCCGTGACTGACATTTCAGATGAAACCCAGGGAAGAGAAGAACAACGTAGTCTGGATATCCGACCTGACAGGAGTTGCAAAATTCTAAAGATCATCAGAGCACATTTCGGGCTGTGAGCCAACACCCACACCAGCGTACCACACAGAGGACAGTGATGCTTTGAAGTTGTATTCTAGTGGATATTGATAGTAAAAAATAAAAAAAAGAACCAGCAAAAAGAGTCCAGTCTACAGTATCTATGAAGCGGAAGGAGATGGCACGGAAGCCACACTGTAAATATAGAATAATAACCAGTTTGAGTTTGCCAAGGCTGCACAGTATCAAGGGAAATAAACTGCAATTTCCCTCACAAGGGACTACAGTGCTGCTCCAAATCTGACTAACCAACAGGAGAGAATCTTTGAAACAGCGAGTGTAACTCACCTAACCACCTCCACAACTTCTGGAGAGGAAATGCAGCCCCAAAAAAAAGCTTTTTGTTTATTTCCCCGCTAGCGCTGTGCAGCCTTAGCATTTGCTACTACATGTTAAAGGGCCGTACATGTGAGGCCTTTTTCTAATACCACTGTCTACAAAGTCAAGCTACTCTGAACATTGAAATATTGAAACCGAGATTACGTGTTTCTGTCTTAGCGACCCGTGAATGGTATAACAACCACCACGGTCGGAGGACTCCGCGGGCCGTAATGACGATACGTCACCGCGTCCTCAAACTTTTGTTGCGGTTATTGTTGTTGTATGTGTTGCTGCTGTGTCAGTGTTTATGGGGGTTGTACTAACGGTAGCCAACGTAGAAGTCCAAAATCTTCCACCTGTCGTGTCAAAACCATTTCAAAAGAGTTGTTTTTGTTAATTGTTTTTCCAGACAGTGAATCTTCCACGATGGCTACACCTGAAGTAATAATACTCTCCTGCTGACAGAGGGCGTGTCACTTCCTGATGCAGTCAGGACCACGTAGACATAAAAAACAAATCATCTTGTACATTATAACCCTGTTGTACCAGCTCTGGTGTGTGTGTGTGTGAGAGAGAGAGAGAGAGAGAGAGAGAGAGAGAGAGAGAGAGCTGTATATTGTGTGTTCAGTTCAGCAGCATTTGGCTTTTTCTGAAGGGGGGGGGTTAATAGTCTGCGTTTAACAACCATCGTCGGCCCATTACTGTGGCGACAGGCTGCTCCTATGTGAACCCCCCCCCCCCCACACGTGAATGCGGATGTGGGAGAATCCTCGTGGGGGTTTATCGTGTTTCGAGCTGTTTGACATCCCTATCTAACATTCTTCATCTTGAAAACCGAGAGAGAGGCGTGTGTGTTTTTCTATGGATAAGATGTAAAATATGCTGCCTTGATACACAGATCCGTTCTTTGGCGTGGTCACTTCAGAAGACAGGTGAGAAGCTGTCCGTATAACAGAGGAAGTAGATTGGACTTGCACCTCTATGTAAGTGTCTGTTCATCAGGCCTGGGTCAAGCAGCCCTTAAAAAAATACCCCACATGTGATGCTTTTGAGGATGAGAATTTAAAATAAAAAGAGCTATTATTAACGGACCTGTCCCGCTCATCTGGTAACTGAAACCAGTTCAAATAAAGTTGAATTATTGGTTGACACTATTGAACCCAGGGCTGATGGTCATACTGAGAGAAGGAACGTGCTCAGTAGTAGTCGTGTAGGAGTTAAAACAGTGGAGCTTGCCAAATAAGGAAGTTTTTAGACGTACACACATCACTATATATATAGAAATACAGCA